CAGGAAGTGATGTAAGCTGCACACAGGAAGTCATAGCTGTGAGGTGATTTTGAAGGAAGTAGAGAGGAGACATTGCTTGAACTGGCAGCAGAGGAGGTAATAAGATATTATATATACACCCAGCAGCCCCCCCGTCATGTCCGTCCTTGTCCTCCATAGATGTCTTTTATATCAAAACTCATAAAATAGATATATATATATATATTGAAATCCTAATCTAAATGTATCCCCCGCACCCTATAAAAGTCGTACGATCCATTAGAATAGACCGATGAGGTGAAAAGGTCGTCGGCGGGAAAACCACCCGTCCCCAAAATGAAGGAAATGTTTCCCGGCCCCGTCAGTGACCCCCGAAGAGGTCAATATACATTTCCTGATGTTATCTTCTCCTTAATGATCCCAGTCTCAGATCTTCATCCTAAAATGTGATCGGCAAAGTCTCCGGAGCACGAGGAGATCACAGGCATCGGAGTTTCCTCAAACAGTCGTCCCGGAACAGCCGACGAACAATAGGCACTTCCTCCAACAGGAAACGCACCACCACAAAACGCTCGAAGAGGAAGTCCTTCTCCCGAACTGGTCGGTAATTGTGCTTCCTCCTCTGGATGGAAACATCTGTTCTTAGAGCTCGTCCGGCACGTTCCATCCCCCTCCATCTTCTTTGGCTCGTTGTTGGTGTCTGTGACAGGTCAGAGGTACCTTCTGTCCCTCTAGAGGCATCCTGGACCACCTTCATGATAGGTCAGAAGTACCTTCTGTCCCTCTAGAAGCCTCCTGGACCACCTTCATGATAGGTCAGAGGTACTTTCTGTTCCTCTAGAAGCCACCTGGACCACCTTCATGATAGGTCAGAGGTACTTTCTGTCCCTCTATAAGCCACCTGGACCACCTTCATGATAGGTCAGAAGTACTTTAGGTCCCTCTATAAGCCTCCTGGACCACCTTCATGATAGGTCAGAAGTACCTTCTGTCCCTCTATAAGCCACCTGAACCACCTTCATGATAGGTCAGAAGTACCTTCTGTCCCTCTATAAGCCTCCTGGACCGCCTTCATGATAGGTCAGAAGTACTTTCTGTCCCTCTAGAAGCCACCTGAACCACCTTCATGATAGGTCAGAAGTACCTTCTGTCCCTCTATAAGCCTCCTGGACCGCCTTCATGATAGGTCAGAAGTACTTTCTGTCACTCCTATAAGCCACCTGGACCACCTTCATGATAGGTCAGAAGTACCTTCTGTCCCTCTATAAGCCACCTGGACCACCTTCATGATGGGCCAGACGTACCTTCTGTTCCTCTATAAGCCACCTGAACCACCTTCATGATAGGTCAAAAGTACCTTCTGTCCCTCTAGAAGCCTCCTGGACCACCTTCATGATAGTCAAGGCTCCCTCCTCAACTCCATGATTGGTTAGATCTAGGACCACCCCAGGCTCTCCCCCCCCCAATGAGGAAAACAGGGACTTCATCACAGGTTTTCTACTTGACCGAGGACAGGAGGAGGCCTTGGGGACAGGAGTACGGCCTTGAGTTCCAGCCTTTGGAACACGGTTGGGTGGACTCCCATCTGGCACTTTCCGGTTCCAGGTGCAGGGCGCGTAGATGTTCTCCATCAATCATTTCCAATATCATCTCTCATACTCACTTTCGTGTTCATCCCGACATACAGCCATACCTCACCACCTCTTCCACCTATCTTGTCTCTCCGACACAGAGGTATGACATCACACTGACATGACAGCATTGCCTCACAAGTCAGAAGGAGGACCCCACTTATCATTCTCTGTCTGCAGACCTAATACTAAACCAAGCAAAGCCAGAAACCAAACATACCCAATATAGAAAACAGAATTTGTGATCCAGGAGGACAAAGTGTAAGAGACTCCCAGATGCCCAAGAGCCCTAACAGTCCAGATTAACTATGAACCCACCGGAGGCCATAGCTCCCCCTACATCCCGACCTCCATGTCACCTCCCGATCTCCTCCTCCTATTATTGTACAACCAACACAATCCGGATCATTCTCTGATATCAATGTTATCTGTCTACAGGGAGACCTTCATAGAGGACTGCACCAATGACGGAGGAGGACCGGAGTCACATGACCGAGAGGATACTAAACCTCACCCTGGAGATCATCTACCTGCTGACCGGAGAGGTGAGGGGGATTCTGGGAGGTCACATGACATCACTCATCTCTAATATCTTAACATGATGTTCCTATTGGTTTCTCCATCCAGAGTTTTCCTCTTCTGAAGTCGGGTGATCATGTGACCATCACAGTGCCCCCATGTGACTCCCTAAAACCCGAGAGACCCAACATGGAGAAGGTTCTAGACGTCACCAAGAAGATGATGGAGCTGCTGACGGGAGAGGTGAGCGGTGCCGGGGATTCTGGGACATGATCCAGGAACAGACAAGGGGTGTGTCTGGGTGGTGACGGGAGAGGTGAGCGGTGCCGGGGATTCTGGGACATGATCCAGGAACAGACAAGGGGCGTGTCTGGGTGGTGACGGGAGAGGTGATGAGAGATGTCCCCGCCCCCTGTATTCCCGGGACCCCACCCAGGAAGATCTCACCGTCCCCCACCATGATCAGGTGGGTGATGAACAATTATTGGACATTATAATTTATATACAAGTGTTTGTTCCAATAAATATTTTAATATATTCAGAATGGAGACCTCAAAGATTATAATATTGTTGTTAAAGAAGAGTATAAAGAGGAGGATGAGGAGTACGGGGTGATGGAGCTTTCTGAAGGACACAAGGATATGATGGAACCACCTTGTAACAGGAACCCACCAGAGAGATGTCCCCGCCCCCTGTATTCCC